ACCCCAAGAACTAAGGGCGCCTCTCCCAGGCTGCGTATTTGATGGTTCTAACTACTAAGATACGATAGATGGGATTTTGACCTTGGAAATTGTAGATCAATTTTCATGACTTTGAGAAGGATCCCTTGGAGTAGGACATCGTTATATTTTGTTTTGTAGTGATAGGCGCTAACAGCTGTCAGAAAAGAACGTAATTGTTGTCAAATGGGTGAGGAAACGGTAAAACACAAAAGAGACGGCTTCAATCAAGTGGTAAATACACACTAGCAAAAGCCAAGTTGCAGAAAGCTACATGAAAAGAAAGAAAAATAATGTCGCCTCAATCACTCTTAGCCCAGCAAAATTTACTGAGAAGAAGTAATGATACTCCAGAGGCGAAAAGATCGAAATTTGTCGATCCCTAAGTCCTTCTCTTTTTACATCTTTAAAATCACTACAACATGTAGACTTTACTTTGTATGTGCATTTTCTCCTACAGCAAAGAACAAAGAAACCTGGACAACTTTTTGAATGGATTTGAACAAATAAATTCGTGAAAATATGTATGTTCTTACTATTTCTTTTTGAACAGTGGCTCTGTATACAAAGAGCTATTTTCACAGTTTCTCATCGCACAGGTGGGTTTTTGATCAAGAAGGCAATATTACGGACTTAGTGCTTAAAGGAAGGGGCTTTATTGAACTCGCTGAAACCTTTGAATTTACAACTAAAGAACATTCACGACAAAGGTAACAATAACATCAGTGACGAGGGTTCATGTGAATCAGAAAATGCCCAGAGGTATCCAAGGAGCCATGTTGAATAGATATCGCAGAATACCTCTATAATATGTCAAGAAACTGGAAACGAGCAGCGTTCTATTTTTTTTACGTGATACACTGAGAGAAGAAGGCGTCTTTGGGAAGTTTAGACCTTTGTTATTCATACTATAAATGGAGTGTTGTTGCTGACAGTTTAGGGGTGCTTAATATGGAAAAACAAATCCTTGTAGTCATTATCAGTGTACCTGAAACCGGTCAGTTGATCGCAATGATTTGATACCCCGCCTACACACACACACACAAAGTGGGGATATATAACCCCATACTCCAGGGGTTGACGCCCATGTTAGTAACCAACGTATGTCAAATGAAACCAAATGAAAAAGAGCAAAATCCAAATTTTTAACAAATATACACTTTAATTAATGGCATTGCAAACATAACCCCAAATGGAAACAAAC